ACCCTTTTTTTTAATGATGTTTACTTTGAATTTATATTAGTTCACACAAACACTCCATCCATGCTTTTGTTCCGGCCCTCCGGTCCAGTTTAAGAACCCATTGTGGCCCTCGAGTCAAAAAGTTTGCCCACCCCTGCAAGCACTGCCCTTCACAAGGGTATGGTTGGAAAAGTAACTGATATTTGAAGACTATTTCCAGATCCACACTAATGCTTGGCTTATAATAGCAAATATGCTCTGACTTTCTGAACTGCATAGATATGCCAATATACACTTCTAACCCACTGTTTGCTTTATTTATATTCTTAACCATTCCCAACCTCTGGCTGATTATTCCTGGGTCCTTTTACTGATTATCCCTGCTTTCCTTGTGCCATTCCCATTTGAGAACAAAGCTATAGCTGGGAACAAAACCGTGCTGGATGCATATAGAGAAGTCAGTATATATAGCGAATGCATGAATAAATGAGTGGAACAAGCTCAGGCAGCTGAGCTAGCAATTTGGAGAAAGATTATTGGAAATTTTCCAGATTTCTCTCATCATATAGTCTTCTAAAAACAGAATAGGGAGAATGAGTGAGTTTGCAGGGCTGTAAGAGATTTCCCAGCCTGGGCTCCTCAGAATGAGTGGTGACCTTGGTGATTCTTGTGGGAGTGGGAGTGCCAGTGCCACCTTTGCAAACAGCCCTTTGAGAAATTCAGATAGGTCTAAGTTTTAAAATAAAACTGCCCTTTCCTCAAGACTCCAATAGCTCAGGCTTTCACCCTGATTAAGGTAAAGGCCTTTGTATTCCATGAGGTTTCTTATAGGTGTTCAAAATCAGGCTTTGAGGCATCTAATCTCCATTTCCTTAAGTCCTACAGTCTTTGGCTGGATTTTGGTGTTATGTACTTGAACTGAAGCTTTGGAAGTTGGGATGGATGGCTCCTTTAACTCCAAACAGTGTGTATTCTGCCAAGGGCTTGACTTGAATTTCTTCATCTCAATGACATCCCTTGTGCTTCACCCCCTACAAAGCTAGGTTAAGCCAAAGAGGAGAAGTTTGCATATTTGTTTGAAAGCTTCATGCAGCTGTTCCAGACAAACAGAGCTATTGCCAAAGTCCTCCATCAGGAACCCAGGACATGTGGAAAATTTTAGCTGCAATGACTGTGGCTGTGATGGAAGCAGTTTGTTATTTACTCATCTCTGGATATTTTCCTAATTCCATTGGTTGGGCCTGTCTCCTTCCCCTACTCTCCCCCAGCCCTCCATGAGGGCAGACACTGCAGGCCACAGAATATTCTTAGCATTTGGAATTACAGCTGGATCCAATCAAAAACCTCTGTCTGCCCCCTCATTATCCTTCCATCATTCTTCCTACTCCCCTTCCCCCTCTCCTCACTGAGTCTGTTCTCTTCAGCTCCCTATGTTTCCAGGGGCAAAGGATGAAACATTCAGGAATCCAGAACTGCCCATCCCTTCTGAAGCAAGGAACAAGCCAGAAGAAACTGGGGGATTCCTGTTTAAGAGAATGTGATCTGTATTGTCATTAAAATCTTTGGTAGAAAGGGGCTTTTAAAATCTCATCCTATCAATATGGTCTGGGGTGAGAGAGAGAGGGGGGAGGGAGAGAGAGGGAGAGGGAGGGAGGGAGGAAGCTAAGTGCAGAAGTAGGTGAAGCAGGTGAGATAATGGACTCAAAAGCCATGTAGTCCAACCTTCTCATTTTTGTTAATCCTCACCCAAGTATATTTTTTCCATTGATTTTTAAAGAAAGAGTGGAAGGGAGGGGGAGAGACACACAGAGAGAAACATTGATGTTAGAGAGACACATCGATTAGATGCCTCCTCCATTTGCCCCTACCGGGGCTGGGAATCAAGCCTGCAACCGAGGTACGTTCCCTTGACCAGAATCAAACCCAGGACGCTTCAGTCCATGGACCAGCACTCTATCCACTGAGCAAAATCCGCTAGGGCACAGGCTGTTTTCAAATATCTTTTAGTTTGCCTCAAAGCCTCCCTTAGTGGCCTAATACAACGTTTAACCATCTTTGTTGTTGAGAATAGTTCTTGGTATCTAATTTAAGTGTCTCTCATTGTAGTCTAACACTTCCCTTCTCCAAGACTGGTCCAGACCCCACCTTCCCTGGAGATAATGGGCCACAGCTCCTAGAACTTACCTGCTAACCATGTTGGTGTCACTGCTGGAGCAAGGAAGAGCAGCAGAGAGAGAGCTCCTCTTTGAGTTATTTTACCGGCCATCCTTTTAAAGGGTAGGGATTGTTAGGGAGACAAGAATAGGAGTAGATGGCCAGAAGTACCAGAACAAAGGAAAATAACTTTCATAAATCAGCCATCAATGAACTTCCAAAAGTGAAAGGAAGCAGAAATGTGGGATCTGTGAGGAAGAAGAGATTTTTAAATTAATGAATGCCTATTTTATCATCCCCCTTTTGTAAGGATCTTCCACTTTATAGAATAACAAGACTCTATTTGTTATTTATGGTATTTTTCCTTCCCAGAAGAAGGATATAAAAACAATCAATTTTCAATTGACCTTGGTGAGATCAGATACAAATATTCTATGGTACAAGTTATAGTGAGGGACACTGAGGTACCAAGACCAGGAAAAGGCCAACATAAAGTCATTCTATGTAATAAGACAGGAATATGCTAATTAGCTGTTATACCCGGAGGCGTAATGACCAAGCAGGTCAGGACCAGATCAGGGATCAGCAGGAGGGTGGACCACCGAGGTACAAGTGGGCTGCGGAGAGCTACAGGAGGGGGCAGGGCAGCAAGCTATGAGGGGTGGGGAGTGGGAGGAGGGGACGGGGGAGGAGCTACAGGAGGGTGGCAGGGAACTACTGGCTACAAGCTGGTGACTGAGAGTTACAGGACAGGGCAGGGCAGCAAGTAAGTGCAGCAAGTAAGCGGGAGGCAGAGAACTACAAGAGAGGGCAGGGCAACAAGCTATGAGGGGGGGCGGGGGGAGCTACAGGAGGGCGGGGCAGCAGGCAGAGAGCTACAGGAGGGCATCAGCAACCTACTGGCTACTAGTATAGAATAAAGATGGAATCCTGTTATCTAAATGGTTTAATCAATTTAGCTGGTATTTCCTTAACCACTAATCTGGGAAAGCATTAGCCTGTATGGACTAAGCTTGAACACTAGAGTTATACAGATCTGAATATGTATTCAATTCTGTCCCTATAAGGCAGGGATCCTCAAACTATGGCCCCGCGGGCCACATGCAAATACAAATATTGTATTTGTTCCCGTTTTGTTTTTTTACTTAAAAATAATATATGTGCAGTGTGCATAGGAATTTGTTCATAGTTTTTTTAAACTATAGTCTGGCCCTCCAACGGTCTGAGGGACAGTGAACTGGCCCCCTGTTTAAAAAGTTTGAGGACCCCTGCTATAAGGTATGGGGATATGGGCAAATTCTTTAACTTCTCTGAGCCTCAGTTTCCTCATCTATAAAATGAGAATAATAATAGTATCTATATTCTTTCCCAGCTTGTTAATTTTTTTCCTATTTATTGGGGTGACACTGGTTAACAAAATTATACTGATTTCAGGTGCACAATTCTACAACATGTCATCTGTACATTGTATTGTGTGTTCACCACCCCAAGTCAAGTCTTCTTCCATCACCTTTTATTCCCCCATACCCTCTTCTACCTCCCTCTCCCCCACCACTGGCAATCACCACACTGTTGTTCATATCTATCTACCTTATAGAAAAATTATTCCCTGGAACATAGGGAAACAATCATTATATATTAGTTATTATTACCAACTTTGTATTGGACAGGACTGAATGTCTCCTATCTTTAGTTAGTAAATATACCCTACCTATGTTCATAGCTTTGGTTTTTGAAGCTTAGTGGTTTGGTAGTGGCTTCTGGCTTTCAGTTCAAGTCTAACCTTCTAGTTTTACCCTGCTGAGCCAGCAGGAAGTCAAGTGAGGTTGGGAAGAACCTACTGAGGTACGTGAGGAGAGGGTGAGCAAGCTCCAATTGCCTTCTCATTTCCTGTCCGGGTCTCACTCTGGTGGGATTAGAGTTTTGTGGTTCCCAGTAGGCAAATACCTCATAAATGACAGTATTAAAACTTGCTGCCCATTGGTATAAACTGGTCACTGGACTTTTCAGTAAACACCTATTCACCCACATACTTTCAAAGAAATGCCGTGCTCAGGGAAGGTGTCAGTCCCAGAAATCGAGAAACAAAAAGATGGCAGATTCTGGCCAGAGTCCCCAAGGGACACAAAAAGTCCAGGAATGGCATGAATTCATCTTCCAATTTATTGCTACTTGACTTTAGACTTTGTCTAGACAGTGGCAAGGAAGCAGGATAGAGAAAAAGTGAGAGCAAGTGAAGGAGGCAGGGAAAGTGGAAAGATGTGAGAGAGAAGCTAGAAAGAAAAGTAATCTGCCAGAGCTGAAGGAAAGAGATAAAATCAGAAAAAGAGAACCAAAGGAGAAAGAGGAGTTTAAAGAAATTCAGGAACATGAACAGCTAGATAAACTAATCCCTGAACCCGCCTCCCACATGCAGCCTCAATCCAATTCCTTAGTTCAGGAGCAAGAAGGACTTTCCTTTCCAGACCCAATGCTCTGAGACTATGACTGCTTCCCTGCCCACCTCCTCCACAATTTCAGACTGAGAATTTGACTCACTGGAGTCAGCCATCCCTCTGCTGAGCATCGGGAAGGTGGTGGGAACCTGTATCTGCAGCCAGGTCACAGCTCAAATGAAAAACAGCATATGATCCAGTTTCATAAAAGAACTTCTTTCTTCCCCTCCACCCCCAGCCATGTTGCCCAAGTCATGAATCTTGTTACTCCCCATGGTTGTAAAGTGGGAGTAGTGTAGTGTAGAGGGGTTAAGCAGCAGATCTTACCTGTTTTATAGGTTTTGGTGCTGTCTTTTTCTCTCCTCGTTCTCTTTCTCCTTCCTCTCTGCTTCTCTCATCAGTTGAAAAAACTTCTCTAATTTAACATTCCTAGAACGAGTGGCTCCCGGTCTGTCCGGGCCTCCGGGATTCTGTTAAAACTGCCCAGATGTTAGGACATCCGCATCTGCCAAAAGTTTCCTTAAAGCTATATTAGCCCCCAAGCTATAGCTATTTCTCCCTCAGAGAAGGCTTTTAGAGAGGTTGGGGAGAAGGAACACAAGGATTAGAAGAACTCAGTCTGTCTGCTGCAGAACAGGGGAAAGTGTGAATGGCGCTGGCCCCATGCCTGTGCTTATAGTAATGACTAACAGAGGCTGGCTAAAGGGCCTCCCTAGAGATGTGGCCTACTGGAGAGCGCGTCTTTTTATGACTCAGCATCACATCAAGTTTGAATGAAAAGGAATTTCTCAAATTTGAAGAAGAGCATAGCTGACTCTGACATTCCTTGGAGATTTCCCTGTAGTTCCTTAGTACTCCCTACTCCTAGTTGCCTTGCCATATACCAGGGTTAGACACACTTTTAAACCCTAGCACTGATTACCTAACTTCTATGGACTTCAGTTTCTGATAAGATTATGTTGTTTACAAAAACTACCATGCACTTCTTGGCTGAAGAATAAAGACTGATTTCCTGTAATGAGTGGAGGGAAAGCATGCTTAGAGAGGCTTTAGCTGAAGGCTGTTTAAGTTAATCTAGATGTTCTGTTCATAGCAAGGCTGTAGCCATTGCTAAGCTGTTTCCCAGTGTCTTCTGATGGAGGACTATGTTTCTATTCACTAAGTGAGATTTCTTTTTAGTATCTGATAACTATTCTACTATAGTGCAGGCCAACTCTTTATATTCTCTGTCACCTCAGAGTTGACATTTCCATCCTTAAAAAAATCAGTGGTCATAGTAGAAATATTTTAACTGCTATAGAAAGGGTTTCTTCCCTGTATGTGCGCAAACAAATCGGTAACTTCTTTTCAGCTATGATAACAAAAAGTTCAGTAACAAGCCTATTTAATTTCCAATATATCAATCATAAATATGAATTGAGTGTCTACCATGTGTTCAACAGTGATAGTGGTATAAAGAAGCTGAAGATATGATTATGGCCTCATTAATTCAATAAATTTATCAAACATCTACTGTGTTAAGGATGGTAGACAAACAAAAATTTCTGAAATCTAGATCCATAATTAATTTAAGAAATATTTTTGAGCACCTATTATTTGCCACACACACTTCTAGGTGCCTGAGAGACATCAGTGAACCAAAAAGACAAAAATCCTTGCCCTGATGAAATGAAGGAGACAGACATTCAAAAAGATGTTCTTGATTACAATTGTGTATGCTTAGGGAAGTAACCTTCTTTAGGCATCTACTATAAGCTATGAACTAGGGGACAGTGGTGAGTAAAAACTGTGTGATCCTTGATTTTAAGGGGCTTACTCTCCAGCTTCCAGAGGGTTTATGTTTAGTAGAGGAGAGAAGGGGTACAAACAATTAGAAAATAGTACAAGACCATATAAAGTTTCAAAATATATGGTATAGACCAGTGGTTGGCAAACTGTGGCTCGAGAGCCACATGTGGCTCTTTGGCCCCTTGAGTGTGGCTCTTCCACAAAATACCACATGCGGGCGTGCATGTACAGTGCGATTGAAACTTCGTGGCCCATGCGCAGAAGTCAGTATTTTGTGGAAGAGCCACACTCAAGGGGCCAAAGAGCCGCATGTGGCTCACGAGCCGCAGTTTGCCAACCACTGGTATAGACTGTAAAGACTCTCTGAGCATCTCGTGGGAAGAGAGGGTCCTTAGTCTGTTCTCCAGAAAGGAAAATTATATAAATAAGAGCTCATTGTTAGGTCAGAGGGGTTTGGGCTAACTGGTTAGAGGGAAGTACAGGAAGTGGTAGGAAAAAAATTGAATAAACAGGATAGTACAAGATTGTAGGGCCCTTGAAATCAAAATAAGTGTTGACTCTAAGCACATGTGTTAGAAAATAGTGAATCTATTAAGTGTGTGTGTGTGAGAGAGAGAGAGAGAGAGAGAGAGACTGAGAGAGGGAAGAAAAATTTTATGAGGGTTGTTTTCTTTCTAGAAAACAAACAAACAAACCTTTCACTGGCTCCATCTTGGCAAAGAGCATAGTCAAACTCCTTACAGAGCATACCAAATCCTTCACAAGCAAACCCTACCTATGTCCTCAGATTAGTTTTAAAAATTTAACCCATGACTTCTCATTCTGGACACACTGATCTTGCTCTTCCTTTCACACCTTAGTGCCTTTATACAGACAATAGAGGTCCAGTGCATGAAATTCGTGCATGGGGAGGCGTAGGGTGCGGCTATAGGGTTAAGCCTCGAACTGACCTGTTGGCAAAGCCACAAACAAGTCCCAGCTTAGAGGGCACAGTCCTCTTAGCATAATTAGGCTTGACCTTATGACGCTCCCTAGATCCTTCCTAGGTAGCTAATGGGCTGTGGGAGGTGCAGCAAGTGCTGCCAAAACAAATGAAACTCACAAGAACAATGTAACTATGGTGACCACTACCTTGTTTACCTCTGGCTATAAAACAAAGGCTCAGCTTGCCTCTGGATCTCTCTCTGTGGCCTCAGCCAGGCACAGGAAGATCCACCTAGACCCAGCTTATTCTCTTTGTCTGTCATTTCTTCATCCTTCACCGCCCTCACTCAGGCTTTTGAACCCTTGGCTGAGCTGGCTGGGCCCATGTGGCGCCCAACGCGGGGCCTGAGTTCGGGTGAACTACAGTTGTCAGGTGAAAGGACGCTCCAGTGAAGCACATGCAGAAAACAAGAAGGAAGGTAAGGAGCGAAGTTTAGTGATATAACTAGGTGTAAAACATAGGAAATTCAGGATCGCAGGACAAGAATTTATTCGTATCTATGCTTAAGGCTATGCTCCAAGCACGGGGCTGTTCTGTGAGGTATGAACAACTTTTCAAATTGTTGGATTTTTGAGTAAAATCTGCCCATGGTTTTCTGAGAAAAGAAAGGTAAATATAGAGGCATGGGAGAAGGTAGGAAAACAACTTAAAGATCATTATATAGCTGAAGGTCCAGAGGAAATGCCTGCCTCTGCTTTCAGTCTGTGGTCCCTGATTCGGGACTGCCTAGAGCCTACTCCAGAAAGGGAATGGATGATTGTGGCAGGGGAATCAAGACAGATGGGGGAAGGCTACCAGAGGCTTCTGACTCCACCTGTACCATCGGCGCCTCTGCTGCCTCCTCCAGTCCCTGGGGCTGCAGCTCCTGTGGAAGAGAGCCCTCCGGACGATGAGCTTCCTCCCAAATATGAACGAGGATTGGAGGAAGCAAGGGAACAGTGCCGGCAGGTTTGGGATGATGGTGGTTTGGTGCAAACATTTGGAGAGCTTACTGTTGCTCATAAGCCTCTCCTTTTACCCCCTAAAGAAGCAGCTAGAAATGAAAGTCAAAGGGCTACAGGGAGTGGAAACAAGTAGCCTGGACTATGTTCAGGATGCAGGAGAGGAAAGCAATTAGGTAAATGACTGATGTTGATGATAATTTAATACCCCTTAGGTAGGGAAACTTCAGGTCCCACCAGGCAGTAGAGTCCTTATCCTTAACCCCACTGCAGCCTTTCCAGCCGGCAAGGGAACAGTGCCGGCGGGTTTGGGATGATGGGGATCTGGTGCAAACATTTGGGGAGCTTACTGTTGCTCATAAACCTCTCCTTTTACCCCCTAAACAAGCAGAAACAAAAAGAAAGGGGGCTGCTTTAACTGTGGCAACCAATGCCCCCTAGGCAGGCTGGGGAAGATAGACTTCAAGCAGGGCCAGCCCCGTCCCACCAAACAGTAGGGTCCTTATCCTTGACCCCACTGCAGCCTTTCCAGCCGGCTCAGTAAACCTTTATCATGCCACCCCGGGAAGCACAGGATTGGCAAGTTCTCCCTGGGGTGATAGATCAGGACTCAGGCAATAGTGGAAAGCACCAATCCTACTGTTAAAATGCAACTATAAAAACAAAAAAAGGGGGAGAAGAATGTTATCTGATAAATTGAAGAATGCTATCTGTTAAATTTTTTGAATTACAATGCACAGAGTTGTACAGTGGCCGAAAGGCATCGGGCCTCCTGACAAAAGTTTTACCAGATCTAGTAATGATGTGGGGAAGAGGTTGTGTTTGTATCTTTCCAGAAGGAGCAGTGCAGCCAATTTGGTTACCAGAGCATTACGTGCGTCACCACAATGGACCCAGAGAAGCTCCTTGTCCCATCATTCAAAAGACTGAGAGTTGCCCCAATGACAGCAATACGGAAAAGGAAGATGACGAAGGCAACGCAAGGGACCAAGGTGCCAACATGGGGTCAGCTGAAGAAGTTAACAACTGAGGCCCAGCAGATGGTAGAAAAACAAGATGCGGAAGCTACTCCCTCAATCATGTTTCTGGCTATGCTAGCATTGGTTAGCTGCCAGTCTTCTGCAAAGTCTTGCACAGCCAAGTCCAAGGACTCTGAGTAAATCAGCAAAAGAAACTTTTGTTTAGCAGAACCTCACTTATTGCTGTTTTGCATTGGCATTGTTTTGTTATTCTTACTAGTTTTAAAAATGTTAACACATTGGCATTGTTTTGTTAATAGCCAGAGCTTTATGTCTTCTTTACAATAAGGAAATGAAGAACATTAGAATGTAAGCTCCATTAAGACAGGATTATTTGTGTTTTGTTCACTGCTACAGTCCCAATGCCCCCAACATTATAGTAGGCACACAATAAATATTTGCTGCACGAATTGGAGATGTCAAAGGTTAAAGTAAGACAAAAGGCCAAAAACATTAATTAATAAAGAATGCCCCTCCTTAAGACAGAATCTACAGGGAAGTGTACTTAGAATCTTCTGTTCCAAATTGGCCTATGGTAGTAATCTATAACATATAAATATCTACAGTAACTCTAAGAAATAACTCTAAGACTTAAGAATGACTATATTAGATACAATTTATCTAGTAAATTTTAAATAAGTAGCTAGTAAATAAATAGGTAAAAATGAAAAGAAAATAACAGCAAAAAGACATCATCCTGCCTTGTACATCCAGATTGTACCACTGTTTTTTCATAGGTGCATCTCACTGGTTTACTTTACTTTTTTAAATCCTGGTAAAATATACCTAGCATAAAATTTTCCCTATTAACCATTTTTAAGCGTATAGTTCAGCAGCATCAAATACATTCACACTGCTGTGCAACCATGAACACTGTCCATTCTCCAGAATGTTTCATCATCTCAAACTCAAATTCCATACCTATTAAACAATAATGTCCCCATTGTTCCCTTCCCCCTGGCCCTAGGTCAGCCGTGGGCAAACTACGGCCCGCGGGCTGGATCCGGCCCGTTTGAAATGAATAAAACTAAAAAAAAAAAGACCGTACCCTTTTATGTAATGATGTTTACTTTGAATTTATATTAGTTCACACAAACACTCCATCCATGCTTTTGTTCCGGCCCTCCGGTCCAGTTTAAGGACCCATTGTGGCCCTCGAGTCAAAAAGTTTGCCCACCCCTGATCTAGACCCAGCTTATTCTCTTTGTCTGTCATTTCTTCATCCTTCACTGCCCTCACTCAGGCTTTCGAACTCTTGGCTGAGCTGGCTCGGCCCAGAGAGGTGTCCTTCAACCCAGCCTGCACCCTTTCCAATCTGGGACCCCTCAGTGGATGTCCAACTGCCTGTTTAGGCCTGATCCCTCTCACAATATGGGATCACTGGCTCTTAACTGCTCGCCTGCCTGCCTGGCTGATTGCCCCTAACTCCTTTTGCCTGCCAGCCTGATTGCCCACAATTGCCCTCGCCTGCCAGTCTGATGGCCCTCAACTGCCCTCCCCAGCTAGCCTGATTGCCCACAACTGCCCTCCCCTGCTGGGGTCTGATCACCCCCAATTGCCCTCCCCTGCTGACATGATTGCCACAACTGCCCTCCCCTGCCAGCATGATTGCCCCCAACTGCACTCCCCTACCAGCCTTATTGCTCCCATTTTCCCTCCTCTGCTGGCCTGATCGCCCCCAACAACACTCCCCTGCTGGCCTGATTGCCCACAACTACCCTCCCCTGCCGGCATGATCACCCCTAACTGCCCTCCCCTGCTGGCATGATTGCCACCAACTGCTCAACCCTGCCAGGGTCTGATTGACCCCAACTTCCCTCCCCTTCAGGCCTGATTGCCCCCAAGTACCCTCCCCTGACGGGGCCTGATTAACGCAATCTGCCCTCCCTTGCCAGCCTGATGGCCCCCAACTGCCCTCTCCTGCCAGGGCCTGATTGCCCCAAATTGCACTCCCCTGCTGGCCTGATCGCCCACAACTGCCCTCCTCTGCTGGCCTGGTCACCCTCAACAGCCGTCCCCTGCCAGCCTGGTCACCCCCAAGAGCCTTCCCCTGCCATCCAGATCGCCCCCAACTGCCCTCCCCTGCCAGCCTGACCACCCACATCTGCCCACCTCTGCCAAAGCCTGATTGCCCACAACTGCCCTCCCCTGCTGTTCTGATGGCCCCCAACTGCCTTCACCTGCCAGGGTCTGATTGCCTCCACTGCCCTCCCCTGCTGGAATGATTGCCCAAGCTGCCCTCCCCTGCCAGGGCCTGATCGCCTACAACTTCCCTCCCCTGCCGGCCTGATCGCCCCCAACTGCCCTCCCTTGCCAGTCTCATCGCCCAAAATATCCTTCCCAGCCGGCCTGGCCGCCCCCAACAGCCCTTTCCTGATGGCCTGATTGCCCATAACTGCCCTCTCCTGCTAGGGTCTGATCGCCCCCAACTGCCCTCCCATGCCAGGGCCTGGTCGACCCCAACTGTCCCCCATGCAGGCCTGATGGCCCCCAACTGCCCTCCCCTGCCAGGTTCTGATTGGCTCCAACTGTCCTCCCCTGCCAGTATGATTGCCCCCAACAGCCCTCCCCTGCTGGCCTGATGGCTCCCAACTGTACTCCCCTGCCAGCCTGATCACCCACAACTGACCTCCCTTCCCAGAGTCTGATCGCCCACAACTGCCCTCCCCTGCAGCCTTATCACACCCTACTGCCCTCCCCTGCCAGCCTGATCACCCACGACTGCCCTCCCCTGCCGGCCTCATCGCCCCCAACTGCGCTCCCCTGCCAGCATGATTGCCCACAACTGCCCTCCCCTGCTGGCCTGGTCACCCTCAACAGTTCTCCCCTGCTGGTCAGATCAACCCCAACTGCCCCTCCCTGCTGGCCTGATCACCCCCAACTCCCCGTCAGCCTGATCACCTCCAAAAGCCCTCCCCTGCTGGCCAGATTGCCCCCAACTGCCCTCCCCTGCTGACCTGATCGCCCACAACTGCCCTTCACTGCTGGCCTAATGGCCGCCAACTGCCTTTTCCTGCAGGGGCCTGATTGCTTCCAAGTGGCCTCCTCTGCCAGCCTACTCGCCAGGGCCTGATCGCCTCTTCTATCGGCCTGATGACCCCCAACTTCCCTCCCCTGCAGAAGCCTGATAGCCCCCAACTGCCCTCTCTTGCCGGCAAGATCGTCCCCAACTGCCCTTCCATGCCAAGGTCTGATGGCCCTCAACTGCCCTCCCATGCCAGGGTCTGATTGCCCCCAACTACCCTCCCCTGCCGGCATGATTGCCCCCAATTGCCAAACCTGCCAGGGTCTGATTGCCCCCAACTGCCCTTCCCAACTGGCCTGATCTCCCACAACTGCCCTTCCCTCCCTTGCCAGCCTTATTGCCCCCAACTGCCCTTCCCAACTGGCCTGATCTCCCACAACTGCCCTTCCCTCCCTTGCCAGCCTTATTGCCCCCAACTGCCCTCTCCTGCTGGCCTGTTCGCCAACAACTGCTCTCTCCTGCCGGCATGATGGCCCCAACTGCCCTCCCCTGCTAGCCTGATCGCCCCCAATTGCCCCCCGTTCTGGCCCGATGGTCCTCAACTGCCCTCCCCTGCCAAGGCCTGATGGCCCCCACTGCCCTCCCTGCCAGCATGATTGCCCCCAACTGCCAACTCTGCCGGGGCCTAATCGACCCCAACTACACTTCTCTGCTGGGCTGATCGCCCACAATTGGTCTCCCCCGCCAGGGACTGATTGCCCCCAACTGCCCTCACCCGCCAAGGTCTCATCACCCACAACTGCCTTCCCTTGCTGGCATCATGGCCCCCAACTGCCCTCCACTGTTGGCCTGATGGCCCCCAATGCCCTCTACTGCCAGGGTCTGATTGCCCCCAGCTCCCCTCCGATACCGGGGTCTGATCTCCCCTAACTGCCCTCCCCTGCTGGCCTGATTGCCCACAAATACCCTCCACTGCCGGGGCCTGATTGTCCCTAACTGCCCTTCCCTACTGGCCTGAATGCCCACAACTGCCCTCCCCTCCGTGGCATGATCATCATCAACTGACCTCCCTTGCCAGCCTTATTGCCCCCAACTGCCCAACCCCTGCTGGCCTGATCGCCAACAACTGCCCTCCCCAGCCCGGGTCTGATGGCCCCCAACTGGCCTCCACTGCTGGCCTGATGGCCTACACTGTCCCCTACTGCCAGGGTCAGATCGCCCCCAGCTGCCCTCCCCTCCCCGGACCTGATTTCCCCCAACAGCCCTACTCTGCTGGCCTAATCGCCCCCAACTGGCCTCCCCTGCCGGCCTTATTGTCCCAACTGCCCTCCCTTACTGGCCTGATCGCCCCCAATTGACCTCCCCGCTATCCAGGTCACCCCAACAGGCCTCCTCTGCTGGCAAGATGGCCCCCAAATGCCCCCTGCCAGCCTGATGGTCCTCAACTGCCCTCCCCTGCCAGAGTCGGATCTCCCTCAACTGCCCTCCCCTGCCAGGGTCTGAACACCCCCAATTTCCCTCCCCTGCTGGCATGATCACCCACAACTGCCCTCCTCTGTCAGCCTGATGACCTCCAACTGCCCTCCCCTGCAGGGGCCTGATTGCCCCCAACTGCCCTCCCCTGCCAGGGTCTGATCTCCCCCAACTGCCCACCCCTGCTGGCCTGATTGCCCCCAACTGCCAACCCTGCCAGGGCCTGATCATCCCCAACTGTCCTCCCGTACTGGCCTAATCGCCCACAACTGCCCTCCCCTCCAGCCTGATCACCCAAAAGTTCCCTCCCTTGCCGCAACCAGCCTTTTTTGCTGGGACCTGCCTCTTCCATGCAGGCGGCAGAGACGCTGGAATCAGCCTCCTCCATGCTGTGCATAGCAGTGGTACCCCAGGCCTCACCCCCAGAGCTGCCACTGGGCCCTGCCTCCACTGTGTGCATGGCCATCTTGTGGCGGCCATCTTGTGGCCACATCACATGAGGGCGTCGCATGAGGGCATCATGTGAGGGCTTCGCGAGGGTCAGATGCCACCTAGGCTTTTATTATATAGGACTAGAGGCATCAGGGGGTTGCACTGCCCCCTGTCACTCACAGAGCAGGGCCGATCAGGGGGTTGGGGCGCTGCCCCCTGTCACACACAGAGCAGGGTCATCAAGGGGGTTGGGGAGCTCCCCCCTGTCATGCACAGAGCAGGGCCCATCAGGGGGTTGAGGAGCTCC